CACTTATTGAGATAGCACGTTCGATAGCAGTCTTCTGAATACACACTCTACAAACGTAAACCTTGACCCCGGGGGTCAAATGATACTTTTGGAAGCTTTGAGGACCTGACAAGTACTAACAATAATTTATTTAAACAGTCTTTTAAGTTGTTTTTTTTATCTCCTAAAAGAGAAAATAGGAGTTAATAGGGACATTAAATGATAATTTAAGACGGGAAAGATATTGTCCGACCTGATAAAATGGTAATTACCATTTTCAACAGTTGGTTTTATTGTGTTTATTATCTCTGAAATATAAAATGGAATTTTTGATGATATTGACACACAAGAATGTGTTTTAAATATGTTTGTTCAAAGCAAATCCCGATCTCTTAACTGAAAGTCAAAAATGTATTGGCCAAACAGTAGCAATCGACTGCTAAACAAGTGCTATATATGTACAGATTTATTCTTGAAACAGAAAAATCATGACAATTGACACGATGTTCAACAATATTGTTTTCGCCTTATCTTAAATGTTCAATTCTTAGCGTTAATAAATATATTAGGGTCAAAATCCAAATTATCACTATTTTTCAATGTGTGGTATTAATGAGGTTAGTATTAGTTAGTAGGAAATTAATTGTTCGCAATTAAGGTATTTTATTAAACACCGTCACAAAGCGTTATTGAGTAAGTCAATAAAATTTTCATTAAATCTATTTGACCTTTGAACTTTTATGGGAAGTAATAATGCCAATTCGCGCAATAAAATGGCACTTTTCATATTACCCTGATTAAATAGTCAAACACTTCTCGAAATTAGCGTTGAAGATTTATTTAGTGCTCCTGACCTGCATCGGTGTAGATGAAAGCGAGTAACTGAAACGCAATGTAATCATATTTGCCTGGACGTTTGAATGTGTTTATCGCTGTCTTTCCTCTCGACATATTATTTGCTTTTGACCACAGTAAACAGTAACCTAGGTAGGTGGTATAGAGTGCGCAGCAAATCTGTCCAAGTGGGTAAATATAGGAAATTTCTACGTTTCAGACTACAGCGTTATATTAAGATTTCTTTTTATGCAGTTTTATTGCTTTCACATTTTCTGAGATTCTCGGAGCCGATATTGTCAGTAAATTTACTGCGATGAAATTAAATATAATTTTTCAATTGCGCAATATTATTAATTATCCCTTCACTAAAGATCCGGCCTTGAATATTTGTATGCAACAACTTTCGTCAACAAAAGGTCCCTGGAAAGTGAAATTCGATTATTAAGCTTGCATGAATACCTATTAAATGGTCACATTAGATTTAGGAGTTCTATCGCACGCTAACACATATGCTTCTATGTTTTGTCTGAATAAATTGAGACTTTCCCAGTAAGTGGTGTGGTACTCTCTATGTGAATTATTCAGGCGAATAACACCAAGTTTTTTAAAGCATTCGCCACTTTTTTTCGGTGATAGCAGGCTGTCAGTGTTGCTTTTCGTCTATGAATAAGAAGCATCAAATGCAAAACAAAATAGCATTAAACGCTTGTTAGTTGTTATCAAATTAAATTGAATGTTACCTTCTTGTTCTTCGTGATATTAAATAGCGAATTTTGAGAGTTTTTCTGGAGCCTAAATCGAACCTGTATGATGTCAGTAACGGGTTAATTTACCCTCCTTATACCAACAGTAATTCCTTCAGTAGTGGAAGCCGATTGTTTTGCGAGGTTCTTCAATATTCTTTGAAGTTTTCGATTAGTATTTACCGACATCTTGTTGCCGGGAGTGCTACGCTCTCATCGCAAACAAATTTCAACCAGTTCTCATGTTTTCAAATGTCCCAAGACAAATATAATTACCAAGGTACACGCTGTCAAGTTAACGATACATATTTACTTTGAGCTAGGAAAATTCGGTTTTGTATTCGAATAATTTTTTTTACTAATGAAAATGAACAATAAGCAGGGTTACATATGTCACGTTGTTAATTAAACTTCTGGAAGGGGGGAATATTTTTCCACAATTTTTATAATGGGTCGAATATGGCGGGTATAGTTTTCACATTTTGGGTACCAGTCCGCACTTGGCGGTTATGTTATTCAAATTTCGGATACCGGCGATATAAGCGGATATATTATTACTTGTGCCAGCTCGTCAAAAGACCACAGAATTAACTGACTCTAATATTGCCCGATTTCGTCAAATTAGACTTTCACCTTATGTAAACAAGAACAGGTGGCTACATAAAGTTTTAATCAATTCGTCTCAATTAAAAAATCTAAATTTACTGGTCACTGGGCAGTAATAGGCAGTATCTGGGTTACAAGTTACAACACTTTATATTGTCGCGATTTGACATCAAAAGAGACATAGACAAGGCCCATAACTCATCAGAAAGTAATTAAAATTCGGGCTTTGATGAACGATAAACACAGGTTTCGAAATATGAATAAAAGAAACAAATAACTTGAATATGGCATTTCCTAAAGATTCCGAGAAGTCATTATTTACTGTTATGGACATAGAGATGTCTAACACTATTGCCAATCGCTGGTATGGTACCATCCCTGCTTAGTTTGTTTCAACCAATTGTCATCGCCAAACTTGTGTGTAATAGTTTGGCAGGATTCGATAAATTGAACAAAACTTTTAATGCAATATATCTTGAGCTTTAAAATTTTGTTATCATTTCTATCAGAGTAAAATAAAACCCCGTTGCCACAATTTTAATTTTACACTATTGGCGCCATTTTGGTCTTTTCCAATAAATAACAATATCGTATTACAAGTGCTCTTATACAATCAGTTTTCTTTCGTCAAGTATGAATCATACTAAACGTCCAATTCAACAGTTTAGTCCATACTTGTACGGTCTTAAATGAGCTATTCTTTCGTGAGCGGTGAAAATACAATTTAACATAATTTATTGCCAATTTATGGCATCAAAGACACAACCATTATGTTCCCATTAAATCAAATAAAAAAAGATTTACCACATTAGGCAGTTTTATAGCGTATTTTATCTGCGTGGGATTGCAAAACTGCCGAGTGTATTGGTTTTGTCATATATTTAATGTAATTACATCGATGTTTAACCAGTCATATTGCCTATAAATTTGAAAGTTATTGTGAAATATTGCTACAAAGAACAAACCGAGCGCGAGTCATTGAGAGAACGTGCGGAGATTTATTTCAGTGAAGAAATATTCGTCAAATGGTTGTTTGTTTCTAAGAGTTGGGTTTCCGGCTTCGTATAATAAATTAGTGTGTCTTGTTTAATCAAACAATATTACTATAAATGATTGTTTTACAATCTATCGTATATTGCTTTTCTTATCGTATCAAACCAATTGGATAATTTTGACTCTTTCAGCATATTTCTTGTACTTTATAAACCATTTCTCATTTCTAGTCTGAAATTTACAGAGAGAAATATTCAAACTTTTCTAAGTGCACAACGACAAATTTGCATGTAAATTATTGAAACGTTCCAATGTTTACAAGCTGTCATTTAAATCATCTGATTTCTCGTAGCTCGAGTGTAATAGGGGTCATAAATCATACTCTAAAATTTCAACTCTACAATGAGTTCGCTGACCAGAAACGTAAGGTTCTTATCCAATGATTAGGTAATAAACGAGATGGGCTTGTCAATTATCTATTAAAAATAACGCTTCGAATCCCTTTTGGGCCGATAGCCAATAAAGCACAGTAGCTACCTGAATATCATTGTATGCCCATCTAGAGACTTGTTTTGACCAAGGTGTAAACATTTCAAAGCAAAAATTAATGTCCACAAATATGTCTTCTTAATTGCCAAAACGCGAAAAAGCAGTGAAAAACCGTCGAAAATTAAGCTCGGAAAGGATATTCCAAAGCAAAAATGAATGCCCACAAATATGTCTTCTTAATTAAGCACATCGAGACATTGTAACTTGTTAAGAGCCTCGCACGGAGAGGATGTGTTAAAGCAAAAAGAAATGCCGACAATGTATCTTTGATCACGCCGCTAGGTTTGCTTCGATGTCTAGCTTCCCAAACCGCACAAAAACCTTCAAGGTCCACGAAATTACTAGTTTTCATGTGCATTCGTTGCACAATTCAATCTGGTATGACACAAATCGAATAAGGTCGAAATATATTTGACCCTCTCTGATAAACGTACTTTGCAAGGTGCGCCTCATTAGCAATAACGTCATTGCTAACCTGGTACCCATCTCAATTTCATCGTATTCTGATTAAACTTGGCCGTAACTTTACCGTTTTACAAAATCCAACACAACTACAAACACAGTCTATGTTTGTAACCTTGTTTTATTTGGTGTTTTCGTTTGGTAGGATCAGTCGTTTAGTTTTGTACCCGAATGGCTTTACCTCATATTTTTTGAAGTACAACTCGGCTCAAATTACTACCTTTCTGACGCCTCGCTGCATTTTCAAAAGTTTGGCCCTGAACTTGAGTCGCGCACAATTACTCCCTGTCAGGTTTTTAAGACGCTAATATCACACAAAAATGTGTTCGGCATTGTCTAATGACAATGTGAAAACAAGGACCTTTTGTAAGGACTTGGGGTTGAACTGTGTCATATAATCCCTTGTATGTACGTAAGCGCTTCTGTCGAGTCCTTCTTTAGCAGTATTTGATCGAGTATTATGTAGTATGTTGTGTCGCGGCAATCATTCAAATCACAGAAAAAGAATCTTCATTTGCTTCGTGTATACATAGCAGTAAATAGATTTTATAAAAAAAAATATTTTTGTATGTATTGCCAAATTGTGCGACAAAACTGATATTTGTGCATATCTGCCCAAATCGTTGTAAGTCTCAGCCGAAAATAGAGACAGTATAGGAGTATTTCAGGCATGCTAAAAGCCAATAACCACTCAAATAATTCATAATATGCTGTTTTTGAACAAACGTTGACAAACTTTTATGAATATTTAAATGTGTAGAATTCATATCACTACACAAACTAGCAAATCTTACTGTATCAAAAATTTCATTAGTAATATTTCTTTTACAGAATGCTACACTATAACTGGCGATGATTACAGAGGGAAACAAGACAAAATAGAACTCCCGGATGTGGCCGGAGGTTTTTATTTTTTTATTATTATTTCTTAATTTTTTCTGATATGATGGGATTAGTGATAATAATTTTAGCAAATTATTGTTATACCGGATTTGAGAGTCAAATTACTCCGACCCGGAATTAGAGTTGAAACAGGAGTCGTATTTTAAATAATTGTGAGTCGAGTCTGACTGGAAATGATAATTTTATTGTTATTTCACCGGATTTGGTAATCAAATTAATTTTATCCGGAGTTGTGTAATAAAACTGGACTGATACTTATATTGGTATTTTGGATGTTATAACATCTGACAATTTTATTTTATTCTGCCTAAGTTGGAGTCCAATTACTCCGATCCGGAGTCGTATATTGAATAGCTTGAAATATATATTGAATAGCTTAATTGGCTGAAATCTATGGAACCACTAGGACTCCTCAGCAGTAGTTCTCAACCTATAGTTATCAGTGACACAAGTAAAACTAGCAATTTTTAATAGGACAGTAGCCCGCCTCAAAATGTAGTAGTGGCCCAGCAATTGGCTATGGCCCACTGGTTGAGAACCGGTAGTCTAATACTTATATTTGTCTTTAGATCTCATTACGTCTGCCGCTTGCTTGCCGTGGAACCAGTCAGAAGAAAGTCGAAAGAAAAACGCCCCGGAAAAAGGAATCGGGAATCACAATTACTGTAGAAACCCAGATAATGACATTCTTCCTTGGTGCAAAGTCGATGGCGTTCAAGGAACCGACGGAGCATGGGGTTATTGTCATCTGCCTACATGCAAAGGTAACTAACCATAGTTTGTGGATACTGTGAGGCAGATCTGGTGACAAAACCGATTTAATAGTCTTTCTCATAAACATTCTGTTAGATAGGGAATGGGGAGAGACCTGACCCAACAGTCAACACTACCAGGGTGTCCTAGAACTTTTTGGAAAGTCAGCTTAATGAACACCTGAACAAACCTTCTGACAATTTCATTCGCAAATTTCCAGCATGTATTTTTTAATGCTGTGAAATATTGCTAGAATTATATTTTTAAACGTATGTAATGTGTAAGTAGAAATCATGGTTGCTCCGAATATCTAACATTGATAAACAAAGGGTATTGCTTCAAAAATACCATCATGTTGCCATTTTCGATGAATACTTTTCCAATTTGAATAAATTTTTTATTTGAATTCTCACCCCCATCGAATAAGACCCTTCTTATTTTAAATATTTCATCGAATATACGAGAATAAAACAAATTGAATTTCAGTTGAGTAGAATTGTGAATTATCTATGTTTTTTTTCTCGATTTCCCTAATCGTTTCCTAATTTTTCTCTAGTGCCTGGGTATCTCGGATGTTTCCCGGACCACGGCAATCCTCCTGCATTGGACGGTGTCGACGTTACCTACAAAGTCATGACGGTTGGGTCCTGTCTCGAATTCTGCAGACGTCAAGGTTACAAATACGCAGGACTAGAAGCAGGTGAGCGAACGCATGCATTGACATGTTAAAACTAGTTAGCAAGAACACCATACATTTCAAAATAAATTTTTTTTAAAAGTGAGAGTGAAAAATTTAATTTATACGAATTAAAAATATGCCAACGCCAAGTACATTGCATATTTCAGCTTTTGTAGTACTCTACAGCATTTGTGTTGTCCAGTATGTATAATAGCAGCTCTAAAGAAATTGATAAAATACTTTAAAAAAGTTTGGAAATTAGAACTTTTCCAATAAAAGTTCGAAAAGGTTACCGTGTTACAAATAAAGTTACTGACATTCTTATCCCGCGCTAATGTTTCCTGTTTCGGTTTCTTCTATTATGACTTCACAAATGACGGAAATTAATTTCTCGGATCATTTCACACAAAAGAAATAACAGGATAATTTACAATGCTTAAACAAAAGGCGTGGCAGTAATGAATAAATTTCCCAATTTTCGAGTTTGAAAAGGAAGTTTATGAAATCACATTGTGCCCAAGAGAATTTATAAACAATGATGTATAATTGATAAACTGAATTGCGAAAATTTGAAATTAAATTTTTGGAGATTTTGAGTTTCAAGGTCTCGTGTTTTAGTACGTCACAATTTTGTAGTTTAGAATTTTCTAAATCATATCAATACTTCCGGTTCCTGTGTCAAAGTTCATTACTAGCTTTTGCGAATAAACTTTTGCGTCTTTTTTTTAATGCGTATTAAATTATTCTGAAATTTACTACTTCTTGAGTCATGGTTGTTAACTGGTCAGTGCCATATTTTTTAAATATTTTTGTAACTCTTGCCACGTGCCTGTAAATTTGCTAGCAGAAGAGTTTCTTTCTTTCTGAGTGAGTGATCTTGCTTTCAGGAAATTTAAAAAAAAGGAAAAAAAAATCTATTAATATCTTTGAGAGAATATGATTATAGAACGTAAAATCATAAATTAACATCCTATAACCCCTGCTTGATTACTTAACATTTTAAACGTTATTTTTCCCTATTTGGAACTTCGCCTTATCGTCGTTTGATAAATTGATCAGTTTCGATGTGAACGATTGTGGTTATTTGGTCAAAAGTTAATCTTTTACCGTCATGATTGGTGTATTGTTTCAAAATAATCACAATTTTAGTGCATTTTTGTGGTCACATGATTTTCAAATCAAATTAATACTTCCGTTTCCGGTGTCAAGGTTCACGCCTAGTATAATACATATTAAACGGGATAATTAAAAACTTGGGGTTGAAGGTCAATTGTACACAATCGATACAAGTTGACAAGCGGCGTACATTAGACTTAAATTACCTTTTGTGGCGGCGAGCTATTTTTTAACCTTGAAACTCTCAAGTTGTTTTTTTGAAAAACTATTTTTAGAATAAATTTGGTATACGATCATTTTATTTGCGAAAGAATTAGAACTATAAAAGCTAGATAAGAAGGTTTTACCTTTGATCTCAATGCACGTTTTTTTTTGTGAACGTGAATGGGAATAAACTTCTTTCAATTTGGGATCATATTTATGCAGGTAAAACCAGTTACGAAGTGGGCAATATATACAGTATTCACGAAGTATGTGCAACATATTCCGATTTCACTTATTTTAGTTCTATTACGAGTTCGGGGAATGTCTGTGTTAGCCAAGTAAATATACCCCCTGCCCACAGGCTTCCGTCCCTTCACACAACTTGATGTGAAGTAGACGAACAAAATTAGTTACCTCCATATTGGTACACACACAGCGCCATATATTCAACGTCATATTAAACCAGGAAAGTTATCGGTAAATGTCCCAGGGCTACGGGTGAATAATCCAAGTCCATTGGCACTCAAGAGTATCTGGGCCTATTCAAACCATTAACAAACTATGAACTCCTAAATATATACTAAGGTAACTGAGCCCCGATACTTTTTAATTTGTCGCCCTGATGGTTACAAATCTTTATTATCAATAACATAGATGTAATAGCGAAAGAAAAACGGAAAGTACAGGTATATTGCACTTGTACTTTATTTAACACACCTAATTTATTTTTATCATTTAAAACACATGAATATGGAACATGAAACAGCATTTGTCCAACCCAATATCACAAGAAATGATATTTTAGTAAATGGGTGGTAGTCGGAACGGCGCCATATAGTATCCTATAAATGGAGTACCCCACACAATATCCTAATCCATGCTTATTTTGCCCTTAGTCCAGCCTAAGACTATGAGCCGTTGTTTATGAAAAGAAAGGGCGCAATATGGGTCAATTACCGCATTGTTAGGGAGTTGCTTACACTCTCGTTGACGAAAGCTATATATCCGTCTCTAAAGCCAGGGATCATATGTTTATTTATTTATTTCGTTCGTTTAATATATACATACCTGTTTGCAATGAACTCAAAAGTTTAAAACATCTCGACTAATGAAAATTCACAATTCAATCAAGCGAGTGATGTTTTAATGGACATTTCCATTTTGTTATTACGCGACTCCCAATACGATTTCTCGAAACTTAAATTTTAATGACATCTATATTAACTTTTATAAACCTTGTTTCTTATTTTTCTTTATTAAATATGGCAAATCTTAATTTGGCGTTGTAAAGTTGAATTTGATTTCGAAATGTCGAGTTAATAGTTTGAGAAAAAAATTTAGAAGAAAATCAAATAAGATAGCAGGTTGCCGCAAAATTAACATATTTCGTTTCTCCGATGTTTTGTTGAATTCAAAATATATACCCTATATATTTGGATTGAGATATGCCGTGTTGCAATGGGTTTTATATATCCCAGCATGCGTGTATATTGTAACATTATTGAAAAATTAGTTTATTTTATTGAAGATTGTACCTACATCAATGTAATCTGAAAATAACCCACGCCACACCAAGCTTACAATATTTCGTGTTTCAGTATGCTCATATTTCCACATAATTATATATATAACTTCATTCACCTCTTCTCTGTATTGTGAGTTTTAGCGAGTGAATATATTTGAAGCAATAATGTATATTACTATCTCCTTATCTCCCTTCGTTTCCTATATACAGCGGTGTCTTTCATCTCGTAATTTTGTTGTTATGTACGTTTAATTCGACCAATATAATGGGTAGAAGATTAAAGAAATTGGTCAATTTTGAGTATTGCCGTTACAGGGTTTTCACGAAAGCTCGAAAAGATTAAACATAAATAGAAGCGGCATCATTTGAAACCGTAATTTCAGTGAAATTTTGACCCAATTTTTCGTTTCGGAAATCCGCTCGCCCTGTATCATTGAGTCTCGTCAAATTATTTGAATTCAAAGTTATTTTAGTAGGATGTAAAACTTTAAATAGGCGCAATATGGATACGCAATACTTTTATTAGTTCGCGTCACTGTAATTTTAAGCACTATCGGTGTTTACTCAATTGTAGATACATTTTGTAGCATTTCACACCTTGAACCGTCCCAGGCGAGGGCTGGACAGTAATTCAAATGACTGCAATCATTTCAGTTCGACATAGCCCTAACCCTTTTATTACACCCCTAATGAGTTTTGTAGCGGCTTCTGCGATTTTTAGTGTGAATTATATCACTTTTTACCCAATAGTTTACCATTTGTGTAATTTATACACCTTTCAACATCTTTTGATACATAACGAGTGAGAAAGTGAAAAACAAGTTTGCAACGTGTATTTCTAAAATATCTGTGAAGCCCGGTTGCTATGAAAACATTGAAGATGGCGTGTCTATCTTCTCACTTTAAATTGAGTAAAAGCAATTAGGTAGAAGAACGCTGCCCGTCCGTAACGCGACCATTTCCGCTTGAATAGCTTGTAGACATCGTGTCCACCCTAGTTTGTTTGCTTTGCGTGATTTTTGCTCAAATTTTTGCGTCCGAAATTTACTTTTTGAAAAGGCAGCATCGCGCGTAGATCAACTATGATATTCCCTATTAAGTTAAACTCGTCAAGCTTTTACCATATTTGTTCAATCAGAAAGAATTTCGTTATTTTTTGTTACCGAAGCTCATCACCATATCGCAATGCTAATTCAAACAACAGAAGCTGACCTGGTGTCCGATATCCAGGATAAGACCTTAACCTTTAACCTTTTTTAAATCGCGGAAAAAATACTATTCAGTTAATGGACTTAAACTTAAAAATACATTGCCGGTAACGAAGTTTTGTTTGTAAAAGTGTTTCAGAGCTGACTAATCATTCAACGCAGTGATTTTGGGGATATTTTAATGGGATTTGACCTATGGAAGTTATGCTATCAGATCCTAAGTGTTGAAACTTGAATTTTAGCACTAAATGTAGTGTAGCAAGGAAGAGCTATTTTTGGACACGAAGTAGGCGTATTGATCATTTTGCTTAATTCTCGCTGGAGTTGTCTTTGGGAAAAATCGCCTTTTTCTACAATTATTGAACCAATCAATAACAAACTTTCAGAACTCAACTACGGAAAAAATCACAAGAAGGCTATTACTTCCATTTTATTTTTGTTTTATTTTAATTTAATATAATACATGTAAACACACTAGCATGCGCGCCGCATAACACCACTCCACTAGTCGTATCGATATAAATTTTCATTTCATTCCCCTTTCATTAATGTTTATCACCAATTTATTAAAATATTTGTTTTTGTCCGACAATTCTGCCAGACTAAAGTAAATTTTGATAAACTAACATTGAATCCGTCTTTCAGCAATCATCAAATGCTAGTTATTCTTATATAAAAATATACAAAAATATGTGACTTGACGAAATATCGTTAAAACACCTGGCGTTAACCAACCTAACATGATGAAAGGATCTGGGTGCTTCAGTAACTCAGCATGACGAATAATATTCCGTGGAATTCCTTACATGCATAAAGAAATGCCTATTATGCAATAGACATTTGAATTGACCTTTAAGTTAACTTTCTTCCAAATCAATTAACAAGTAAGAGTATTTTGAATTGTAACCATTAAAAAGTGTGCAAAAAGGAAGTGCAGGATGTCCATAAAGTCCCTTTTTACAGTTTTA